AGGTCCCGCACGTTTTCCTCGTTGTCGAGCTTACCAATTAAACTTGAGTTTTATATGTCACAAAAAATAAACTATTGAAAATTTCAATCGAATAGGAATTCAAGAGTATAGTTTTTGCCGCATATGATTTGTATTTCCTTAGTTAAACTAATAACCAGGAGGCACGCGCATGACCTATAAGCCGGAAATGAGGGGTAATGACATAATTGGCAGCATTGTTCTAGTGTTGAGTCACCTGATTGGGTAGTTGCCCGTGTCGCCCATGTTGCGCCTGTCGATCAGGACAAGTCCCTGTGTCGCGTTCGCCTGCCGGTACAGTGTGTTCTCCAGAGGCCTCAGATCTAGCTCCGAGATAAACGGCGTCCCCAACCCGATGTTCACCAGGCAAACCTGCACCGAGTCGTCCGGGATCACGGCGATGACCTCGGCCAATACCGATCCCTCGGCTCTCGAGATGTTCACCCTCCACCAAAAGTTGACGCCGAGGTATAGATCGAAGACGGGGAGCTTGTCGAGCCCGTCGTAGTTGCCGTACATGAACAAGGCCCGGAGCAGGTACTTGGACCCCGGCACGAGGGACGGCAGCGTGTAACAGCTGCGCACCGAGTCGGGGAAGCTGCGGACGTTGAGGTAGTTCTTGGAGAGCTGGGGCTGCGGCCTCACGTACTCGGCGGAGATGTTGCGGTTGTAGCCGGCGTCCGTGAAGCCGGCGTCGGAGGTGATGGGTATCTTGGTGCGGTTGTTCACGTAGCTGCTATGCTCCGGCAGGCCACAGTCGATGGTGATGAAACCTGCATCATTTGCTCAATGGGAGCTCGGATGTAAGGTTTGACAAAAGGGGCAATAAACGCACTACGGAGCTACATTCCTACCTAGCGGAAACAAATTAACAAACCACCCATGATGGTAATAATTGGGAGCTCACCTTCGATGCTAGGCCGTGAACTTGAAGTACGCCGGCAGCGGCGACGGCGAGGCTGAGCAGGAGCGTCAACGGCGAACGGGCAGCCATTGGTCGCCGGTCCATTCTGCTACGCGCGCACATGCCACCAACGACAAGATGCTCCACGTACGAAGTATAGTCTTTCCCTATATATATATACTAATAAAGCGGCTATTGCTTTTGGTCGTCCGTCATTAAAATTACCCTTCAAGCTTATAATAATTACCCACCAATAATTACCCACCAATGCCACCGGTAAGTGGAAAAACGATTCAATTTTTAGGACAAAAAATCACCGCCTACTTCGTTACTTTAAAGTGACGCGACATACATTAGACACAGAATGAAGACCAGCATAGTGGTCGGCCTATCCCTCCTCTACCGGCAAGACCTGGGTTCGATCCCCAGCGTCCACATCGGCCGACCCATGGCGGGGCTTCACTCCCCTGTTTTTTTTCATTTTACTTTTTTCTTTTCTGCGCATCATATTTAAGTCCAACAATGATTTTTTAAATCATTCATATCTTTTAAACCGTAACTCCAATTTGAACATGCTATATATGAAATTTGATTAGAAAAATATGTAGAATATGAATATGAGATTATTTTCACCTGTTAAGTATTTTTGAAAATTATTTTGGAATATATTTAAGTCAAATAAATAATTTTCTAAATTATCCGTATCTTTTAAACCGTAACTTCGATTTCAACATATTATATATGAAATTTTACTAGAAAAATATGTGGCATCTAAATAAGATGTTAATTTTACCTGTTAAATATTTTTAAAATATAGTTTTAGGAGCAAACTTATAATTTATAGCGTAAGATCCGTTTTCCTTTCATACCAGCGGCGACCCGGATTGCAAATAAACACCCCACTATAACAATATAGGGAAAAGAAAACTTCAATAACTACACATGCAAACCTCTGAAATATGTCGCAGGGGAAAACAACAGATTTCTCATCGCGAGAGTGAGAGAGAGAGAGAGAGAGAGGGAGGAGAGAGGGAGAGAGGCGTCTTAGGATTAAACATATTCAAACATGTTTTTTTTGTTTTTGTGTGAACACCGAGGCCATCGCCGGCGAGGGTGAGAAGGAGGATAAGTGGCAACAAAAATATGATATCTCGCAAAAATAAAGGAGATGGACCTATTGTAGTCTTGGGTGATGGTTGTCGGGTTAAAAGTGTGTGTTATGTTTTCTCTCCCGTTGCAACGCACGGGCTCTTTTGCTAGTACTATCTATATATATACAAGTATGTGTTTAGCCTTAAGCTTAGGTTCACACGCTTGCCAGTGGTATAATAGACACATCACATGGCCACTTAGCCTGCAAAACTATCTTCTAATTTGGCGCCGACGGAGAGTGCAGTTGACTTGATCGGGAGCTGTATAGTTTGTCAACTGTCTCGCGCTGCCTCTGGTTGCAAGAAGGTACCATTATTAGTGCGGCCTTGGCACTAGTAGACGACTGACTTGATGCAGGGTTGGTCCGTATCTTTTAAACCGTAATTTCGATTTCAACATATTATATATGAAATTTTACTAGAAAAATATGTGGCATCTAAATAAGATGTTAATTTTACCTGTTAAATATTTTTAAAATATAGTTTTAGGAGCAAAATTATAATTTATAGCGTAAGATCCGTTTTCCTTTCATACCAGCGGCGACCCGGATTGCAAATAAACACCCCACTATAACAATATAGGGAAAAGAAAACTTCAATAACTACACATGCAAACCTCTGAAATATGTCGCAGGGGAAAACAACAGATTTCTCATCGCGAGAGTGAGAGAGAGAGAGAGAGAGAGGGAGGAGAGAGGGAGAGAGGCGTCTTAGGATTAAACATATTCAAACATGTTTTTTTTGTTTTTGTGTGAACACCGAGGCCATCGCCGGCGAGGGTGAGAAGGAGGATAAGTGGCAACAAAAATATGATATCTCGCAAAAATAAAGGAGATGGACCTATTGTAGTCTTGGGTGATGGTTGTCGGGTTAAAAGTGTGTGTTATGTTTTCTCTCCCGTTGCAACGCACGGGCTCTTTTGCTAGTACTATCTATATATATACAAGTATGTGTTTAGCCTTAAGCTTAGGTTCACACGCTTGCCAGTGGTATAATAGACACATCACATGGCCACTTAGCCTGCAAAACTATCTTCTAATTTGGCGCCGACGGAGAGTGCAGTTGACTTGATCGGGAGCTGTATAGTTTGTCAACTGTCTCGCGCTGCCTCTGGTTGCAAGAAGGTACCATTATTAGTGCGGCCTTGGCACTAGTAGACGACTGACTTGATGCAGGGTTGGTCCGTATCTTTTAAACCGTAACTTCGATTTCAACATATTATATATGAAATTTTACTAGAAAAATATGTGGCATCTAAATAAGATGTTAATTTTACCTGTTAAATATTTTTAAAATATAGTTTTAGGAGCAAACTTATAATTTATAGCGTAAGATCCGTTTTCCTTTCATACCAGCGGCGACCCGGATTGCAAATAAACACCCCACTATAACAATATAGGGAAAAGAAAACTTCAATAACTACACATGCAAACCTCTGAAATATGTCGCAGGGGAAAACAACAGATTTCTCATCGCGAGAGTGAGAGAGAGAGAGAGAGAGAGAGGGAGGAGAGAGGGAGAGAGGCGTCTTAGGATTAAACATATTCAAACACGTTTTTTTTGTTTTTGTGTGAACACCGAGGCCATCGCCGGCGAGGGTGAGAAGGAGGATAAGTGGCAACAAAAATATGATATCTCGCAAAAATAAAGGAGATGGACCTATTGTAGTCTTGGGTGATGGTTGTCGGGTTAAAAGTGTGTGTTATGTTTTCTCTCCCGTTGCAACGCACTGGCTCTTTTGCTAGTACTATCTATATATATACAAGTATGTGTTTAACCTTAAGCTTAGGTTCACACGCTTGCCAGTGGTATAATAGACACATCACATGGCCACTTAGCCTGCAAAACTATCTTCTAATTTGGCGCCGACGGAGAGTGCAGTTGACTTGATCGGGAGCTGTATAGTTTGTCAACTGTCTCGCGCTGCCTCTGGTTGCAAGAAGGTACCATTATTAGTGCGGCCTTGGCACTAGTAGACGACTGACTTGATGCAGGGTTGGTCTGTCAGCACGTTTGTGCTCGTCTATTGTGTAGAAAATTGAAGTAAACGATGCACTTGACAAACACGACGTACAATCAAAGTCAATCACATACACAAGCATACACTCACCCTATGATTGCATGTGTGCGCACCCTATTCATATGAGCACCTCAAAAGCCTGAATTAAATTCAGAAATAACGTAAACACCCACGTCAAATTTAGGACTTGAACCCCGGTGGGCAGCTGGGGAGTGGAAGCATCACTGTCCTCCTAACCATCCAACCAAAAGTTGGTCCGCAAGACACGCTATACAGTTGAGACTTGAGGCACACATGCAATTGATTTGGGACCATGCTTGAGGCGCACAAAAGTTGAGGCGATCCGGCTAACCGGCTGGGACACCAATTTACTCAATTGGGCGTCCTTTAATCAGCACTTACTCCGGAGTCCGGAGTCGATCCCCTGTCAACTCTGTCGTTGGTTACCTGCTACATGTAATTTGCTCTTTGTTGGTTATTAATTTCTTGTCCGGTGAGCTTGTGCTCTTGTATATAAAGCAATCTAAATGTACAATGCCAGCATACGTGACTGTTCTTAGAAATGAGTTGGTAAAGATATGTAAATTAGCTTTGTCTGTGACGGTGGTTATCCAACTGCGAGATATCGAAAACAAAGGGTCTAGTTAATAGTATATCTACAAAATGAAATTCGATCAACACACGATCAAGATTACTTGTATCTTTTGACTTCGGTTTCAGGAAAGTCTATAGTTAGATTTAGCAATTAAATAAGTTACTGGTTGAACATACAATTTATTAGTGGGAAACTTGGTCAAATAATATCAATACACACGGAGATCCGACAAAAAATGATTACAAAGATTTCACACGGAAACTCGAACATAGATAACCAGTTGGCGATCGGTACATGATCAACAAGTCTTGCTTATCGGGCAGCAGGACCGTTGTCCATTGTTGGCACCCTCCCAAAATTATGTTCCTTCTCAAATGAAGTGCTGCTTTGGCTCACATTCGTGGACTGGTTAGTAGGGTAAGAGTCATTTCTCATGCTTAGGTCGTTGCTGCTGATGCCAGTGTAGAAGTTGTTGTTGGAGTTGCCGCCGGCGTGGTCCTCCTCTAGCTTCAGGCACTCCTGTAGTTGCAGCACAACATTGGTCATGTTGGGGCGCCGCGCCGACGCATGTGCAGTGCACTTGAGGGCGATGTCAGCAGCCTTCCATATACTATTGATGTCGTGGTCACCATGCATGCGCAGATCCACCACGCCTTCGATGTTGCCTTTTGATAACCGCTGTTGCACCCACTCAATGATGCCGATGCTTCGCGGGTTATGCATGGTGGGTGGCTTCCCGGTGACAAGCACCAACAGCACAACACCAAAGCTATACACATCACTCTTGGTTGTCGGCCTCCCTGTTGTCTGGTACCTAAGCAAATGTTTCAGCTCCACTGAACACTCAGAGCACGGTACGCTATAGAAAGATTTTGGAGTAGGGTGGAAGGAGTCGGCTTACTCTGGATCCATATATCCGCGTGTGCCAATGATCACATTCGTGGACACCTGGCTTTCATTGTCGCGATTGAAAGCTTTGGATAATCCAAAATCGGCGATCTTGGCCTCCAACCTCGTGTTCAATAAGATGTTTGTGGCCTTCACATCCCTGTGAATCAAAGGTGGGTTGCACCCCTTATGTAGGTACTCTAGTCCTATATATGAACACTGAGGATTAAAAAACAATCATTTGGCAAAAGCAGTTGCCAATTCTGCATTTAAGTGTTTTTTCGTTAAAGAATCAAAAGATGCAATATAAGCGCTTACCTTGTGCAGATTCAACTGCAATTTTAAGTCTCTGTCTCCAGGTTAAGCATCTTGCATTTCGGTCTCCTCCTACATACAGGCCGACATTGTGACCAATCATTTATTCAGACGATTCTATAGATAAACAACATATACACTCTATCAGCTCATAGTGCTTTACGCTACACGAGTCACCTTCCAGCAGCTGAATGTATAGCGTTAAACAACTTGCGTACCTACAATGTGATCTTGCAGAGTTCCCTCTGACATGAACTCGTAGACAAGTGCCATGTGCACCCCATCCTTGCAGAAACCAATCAAGGAGACAAGGTTCTTGTGATGAATCCGGGTTAAAATTTGAACCTGAACAAGCAGGGGTCAAGACATGACTTCATAAATATCGTTTCACGGTAAAAATCTATATCAAGAAACTTATATATTTTTTAAACAGAGTAAACTATGTTAAATGTACCTTGATATTTGAGATTCTACATTTAAAGCAATATAAGGACTTCGAAACATAAGTGAATTAAATGACAAGGAGGAATGCAAGTGCAGTGAGATAATAAATTGTACCTCTGCTAGGAATTCCTTGTCACCTTGGTTGGAAGACTCAGACCGTATCTTTACTGCCACCTGAGTGCCATCCTCCAGGAAGCCATCATAGACATAACCGAATCCTCCCTTTCCCAACACTTGTTGAAGGTTGTTCGTTATCCTCTCAATTTCATTGTATGTGAATCGGCGAGTCTCAAGTCCAAGTGATGTGTCCCCATCATTTCTCGTTTCATTTTGTGGCTTTACGGAATTTTTCATTAATCCTTTTTGCATGCGTGGAATTTAATGATTAACATTAGTACTATTTGATGTCGAAACATATACCAATAATTAATTGGCCCATGCCAAAGTCTCACCTGGAGTTTTTCGTCTCAACAAGCAAAAGAGTGTTAGTGCCACTGATACTATCACCACGATGATAACTATAGGGGCACCAACGTATATGGGCAACTTGCTCTTCATTTTAGCAGGTCGACATGAATTGGCATTGGTGCAAAGGTTTGAGTTGTTGTCATATCTGCTAAACAATATTAAAAAGTTGGTCAATGAAATTCATCAAGTATCATGCAAGACGAATCGGGAGAATTCATGGGTAAATTAACGACCTTAGATTTAGGGAGCCATCTTGAATTCTTTTGAGAATTCCGGAGGGAATTGAGCCACTGAGCTGATTTCCTGACAAATCTGTAAAGAAAGAAAATATGATTTGCAGGAGTGGGAGTAATGTAAGGAAAAAAGCACAATTGGACAGTAGTTGCCAGACTTACCAAATCTTCAACAAAGGTAATTGTGAAAGAGTATCTGGAATTGTGCCCGTCAAATTGTTGTTTGACAGATCCCTACAAGTGAGTGCAAGATATGGACTTGTATCAGTATTCCTTTTGCCGTATTTCATCTCTTTAAACTACAAACAAAGGCCAAAGAGATCCAAACTCTGAACATACAAGTGCTGGAGAGCCCTTAGATTCGCGAAAGACGGCGATATGTCACCATTCAGACCACTGGAAGACAGGTTTCTACAAAGAGCAAATATCAATTGGATCAATTTGACTGCATATAGTAACCTTAACATGCGATAATTCATGCTTTTGTCCTATGAACATAAGTGATAGGTCAATATAACGTATAGATCTGAAAAACTGACACGCTTCTGATCCTTGGAGGGATGCCAATGTCGTAGCTGCACATCAACTTTTCCCAGGCCATAGTCTTGGGAGCACACGGGTCACCCATCCAGTTCTTCTCCACATGATACTTCGTCTTGATCGTTATCATAACAGATACTACAGTTAACCACACCCACTTTTTTAGTAGCAGAGACAACACAACCCCATGTTCTTAACAACTTAATAAATACTCCATCCTTGCTCTATAGTGCATATAATTTTTTCAGTGTCAAACTTTGTAGACGTTGCCAAGTTCAACATATCAACATTTACAATAACATTGGATTTATCATGAAATATATTTCCATGTGACATATATTCATTATAGTAAATGTTTGTTTTTTATGAAAAAAATTGTATGCGTTCCAATTTGGCAAGGAGGAAATATCAGCTAACTCATGCATGTATCATTTGTTTGCATATGTACGTACCGTCCCTGGAGTCCGTGCCAAAGTTTGTCGTGGACATGATGGAGAACAACTCGAGGGCGTTGAGGATCGGCGGCAATGTCGAGTTGGCGGTGGCGTTGATGGAGATGTTGTAGTTACCGTCCCGGTAGGGCTTTTCATTGAAGATGACACCGACCCCAAGGTTCAATAGCCTAATGGCTTCGGACAACCTCACGCCGTTGATGTTGATGTCAAACTCGCGTAGGGCGTTGCTCGGGAGGAGCGAGCTGCAGCTCAGAGAAGTGCATGACAATGAAATATCCCGGTGACAGGTCGCGCGACTGAGGCACGAGGTCCCAGGTGATCTCTAGCTTCATGGAGGCGTTCAGCGGCGTGACCGCAGTCTGCATCACGGCCGTCGGCACCTCGAAGTCGTCGTACTCGCTGTCCACCTGCTTCATCGTTGATATCTCCGTCCGCTCTTTCGGGTCAGCCCAAGGGATCCATACTCGGTCGTGTGGATCTTCCGGGTACCTGATGGTCAACCACGCTTGTGACTGATTGGTATACTTTGGAGAGGAAATCTAGAACAACCAGAGGAAATTAAGCAGATCAAGATTTTTTGCTCACCTGACGACGGTCGCACCAGTCGGGCCGGCGTTGAGCCTGACGTCGAGGACGAGGCCCTGCGTCAGGTTCGCCTGCGGGTAGAACTTCATCTTCAGCGGCCTCAGCTCTAGCGCAGAGAGGAACGGCGTTCCAGCGCCGGTGTTCACCAGGCAGACCTGCACGAAGTTGTCCGGAACGACTACGATGGCCTCCGCCGTCACTTCGATTCCAGGCGTCGAGACATTGACAGTGCCAGTAGTTGACACCGAGGTGGAGGTCGAAGACGGGCGGGCTGCCAAGGCCGTCGTAGTCACCATATAGGAACATCGCGCGGACGAGGTACTTGCGAGTTGCGACCGGACACGAGGGACCGGAGTGTGTAGCAGTTGCGCGTGCCATCAGGGAAGCTGCGCACGTCGTGGTAGCGCCTTGATAGCTGCAGTCGAATGTACTGGCCCGAGATGTTGTGGTTGGCGCCGGCGGTATCATCGATGAACCCGGTGTCGGAGACGTAGGATAGCTTGGTGCCGCCGTCCACGTAGCTTGCCTTCCCCGGTAGTCCACAGTCTACGCTTATGAAACCTGCAACACGTACATACATGCAGCCGTTAATGGCGCATGCGTGCGGCCATAGTAGTGCCAACTGCCAAGTAAAGGGTGCAGAAGTTTTTAGCATACCTTTGCTGTCAAGCTGGGCGCGAGCTTGGAGTACGCCGCCGGTGGTAGCGACGGCGAGGCAGAGGAGCAGCAGCCATGGACGACTTGCCGCCGTTGATTGCTCCATTGCACATGCAAAGGACAGTTAGTGGAGCGTAACATGCATACATATGCATTTGACTTTTTTAGGCGTCCAATGCTTCAGTGTATATGCCCACACGTAAACTAACTGGATCTAGAATTCTAGTAGATAGAGACAACTAACAAAGCCAACTCGGTCCACTAGTGAGCGAGCGAGCGAGCTTAATAATGATGAGTTGATCACGTCAACACCACCATGATTGACCACGTACGTCTGACGATGCAAGAGGAAGTTTGCACGGAGAATTGCCGAGAGCGAAAAGAAATTCTAGCGGAACCGGTTTCTACCGGATAGCTCGCTACGGTCCCATGGTGCGGAGATTCGAACGTAGTTGTACCATAGTGAAACATAGTTAGAGCACGTATTGCGTGTAGTGGTACGCATCGCTGGTTGTAACCAACGATACTACAGGCCCGCATATTGAATTCAGTACTACCTCTAAAAACTTGTATTTAGGAACGGAGGAAGTAGCAGAAATCCGCCCACTAGCGCATAGACGAGCTCGCCGCCTGCTTCGCAAAGTTTATCAGCTCCTTCTTCCATCGTTGGAGTTGCTCTAGTACCGCACCGCTTACGAAGGTCAATGTCTTATACACGCGGCTAATGTGGGAAACGAACTGATGGACATCCACTCAGGAAAAAAAAAGAACCTCATACATTATGCAAGCCGCATGAAGCTTCCGTATCCATGTGCGGGAAATTGAGGCAAAAAAAGCCTCCAACAGCTCATGTAAACCCGATTTTTTTGTCAAAGGATTAATGCTGAGGTCAGGATATGGTCCTAAAACCACTGTTCAAGAAATCTTTTGATTCAGCGATTTATCACCGATTTATGGCTACACTTAGAGTGACCGATAAGATTATGCCTTATCTTCACCGTTTATCGTTTGAGTCGATTTATCGCTACAACAAGCGATTTATTGGGAATCTACCGATAAATCGGGTCTATTCATAGCACTATGTTTGCAAAAGCTATGTTTATTTGTGTTTTGTGGACCTTGTTACGCAATATGTACTGTTGTCCTATTTTGTTTGTCATTATACCAGGATTCAAAGGCTAGGAATCAAGGTAACACTTCTGTCCAATATTGTTTTGGTGTTGAATATAATATATTTTAGTATTGTGAACCTGGGATTTGCAAAAAATGGCCGATTAATAGTCGACCGATAAAATCGATTAGTCGGCCGATTTCCGATTAATCTTTAATCCCAAGCTGACCGACACGCTAACGATAAGCGATATCCTCAACATTGCCTAAAACTGATCCATGATAATGTGCTAGGTGTCCAAGTAATTTGAATCACAAGAAATTAATGGTCATCTACATATAATCTCGTATGCTATGATTTCAAATGTAGGACTCCCTCAAATTAGTGGATTGTCATCCTTGCATCCCCTATCTTTAGCCATCTAGCTTGCGGCAGAAAGTTTCTTTTTGAATCAGTTACTGGAATTAAAATATCCATCCAACACTCTGAAATTTGTAAGAAACATTGTTCTCATGGAACTAACAGCTGTAAATTATAACATGAGAAATGGGAAAACTGTAATCATGCCCTCCACATTGGAAATTTAAGAACTGTTGCTGGCATATCAAGTTTCTAAGTAATCATCAGATTTATGATTTATCAAGATTAATACTTGTTTGCCTTGTTTATGGTGCCACAAGTTGATGCAAACAAATAATATGTCCATCCATCCATTGGAATACAAATATTGCATGCTCCTAGTGTTGACACCCTCCGGTCAGGGTTGAAGAAGCTGAGAGCACAAATATCCGCAGTCCATTTAGCGAACATAGGCATGTTATAACTATATTCCAACTTAAGGCATGTACAATGGGGGCATATGCCCCATGATAAAACGTAGTTTGAGGTATTTATATTGATTCTTTTTTCTTCCCAACGCAAACTACTACTAGTAGGCCTCATTAAAGAATAGAAAGTAGACTTCCACTACACACGAATCCCTACTCTCCACTTTAATTTTTTCAGTTTTATGCACCGGATCACACTTTTTCTTCTCAAGCGCACCCGCCTCCTCATGAGAATCCCGCTAGACCATCTGAACCTACTTTTCCTGATATCCGATCCTTCATGGCCTATGGGGCATCATCCTAGGACTATGCATTGGCCATGCCCTTAGTGATATCATTCAAAAATGATATGCTAACAGGGTTTTTCCACCCTTACAGAAGACCCAAGGACAGAGTTGGGTGTGGTATGATGGAAACATGTACACTAGTAAAAAAACAACTTTACGTTCACATCATTAGTGCCGGTTTGATTACGGCCCGGACTAATGTGACCATTAATCCTAGTTCCAATGGCTAGGGCAGGGGCATCGTTAGTCTCGGTTCGTTTTGTACCTCTAGTCCCAGTTTTTGACAAAAACCGGGACTAAAGGGATGGTGGCAGGCTAGTGTCAGGCTAGGGCCCCCACGAGCCCCTTTAGTCCCGGTTCTTTTCATAAACCGGGACTAGATGTAGACCTTTAGT